TTCGCCGAAAACTTTTCATATAGATAGACATTAGTGAAAATAGTTTATTGTGAAGGTTTTAGATGTTTTGGTTGCTCCTAGTCTAAGATAAAAACATCGTATCTGTCGGTGTTTAGAAGCAATTTTAAGATAACTATATTTTATGATAGAAACAGCGAAAAGAGCTGAAACTTCCACAATCAACTATTCTCATTGAGACATATATCTATGCAAAGTTTGAAGTCAAAATTCGAAATTCAGTTTTTCAAATATCCCTGAGGGGGAACCACAGCTCGTTTTTCTTAAACATACAGTAAAAAGGCAGTATCTCAGGAATAATAAGCTAGCGGCACGAACTTTTTTCACAGAATTCATAGGTCGTTAGGATCTACATAGTGCACATATGCTCGACTTAAAAACGATGTGACACTTGGGAATGTTTCCTCGTTAGCGATGTTGTGCAACCCGAATACACTGAAAAAAAGGTGCCCTACGGAACCCTAAAAATTTTCGATTTTTAAAACAAAATCAAAACCCTTTTGAGTTTCGTAGAAAGTAAGATTTCGTAAGAGGAAGAATTCTTATCTGTAGTATAATGAAATACCTCGTCTACACTCTGTACAATACACACCGCTGTACTATACACAGCTTTCCTACACTACTATCCTCACATATTCAAGCCCCTTACCACCGTAACCCAATTCAAAATTCTTCCAACTATCGAACTAAAGAATAAAAGAGCTCTATCTTCCTAACAGTCACAGCCAATAAATAAATTCCTTCTCAAGTCTAAAACAAAAAAAAACGAATTTTTTTATTTTTAAGTAGTACTTAAATTCAAGTGAATTATGTTGAACACACTAAACCAAAAAAAAATGAATTAATTTTTTCAAAATCTAACTTACCAATAATACAAATCTAAGAACGATCTAAATAGAAAGATAAAAGAAGTTCTATGTTCGAAATAGTAACTCACCAATAGTTAAATTTGTTTTCAAATCTAAACGACAAAAAAAAAGAATATTTTTATTTTTAATTACTACTTACATTCTACTGAATTATTTCCAACACTCTAAACAGAAAAAAAGTCAATTGATTCATTCAAAATCTAACTTACCAATAATATAAATGTGCCAACAATCTAAATAGAAAAAAAGAAGTCATATGCTCTAATTAGTAACTTACCAATAATTAAATTCGTTTTCAAATCGAAACGACAAAAAAGAGAATTTGTTTATGTTTAGTTAGTACTTACATTCTGCTCAAATTATTTTGAACAATCTAAACAGAAAAAAAAGCGTTTGGTTCATTAAAATTCTAACTATCTAAATGTTGACGATGTCATCACTTATCCACATGTTGGAATCCAGTCTTGTAGTATTTAATTCGAGGCATATTTTAATAAAAGTGTTTCAAACAAGACGCTTTATATTAACTTTATCTTAAACATTTTCTCATTTATGACAAAAGTTGAATCATGTCACATTGATATTCAAACTATTACAGAAAAGAATTTTTTATTTTATTTTTTGTCTTCCTTCAAATGTGAGCTATACAAGTGTCATCTGAAATAGATCGATAATGAACGCCTCTTTTGTATTGCAGAGCTTAAGTGTAGTTTTTTATGCAATGATGAAAAAGCGTATGTACATGAAAGTGTATGTAGCTTATCTCCACCAAGAAACCAAACTATTGAGCAGATGTGCTTCCATTCGATCAAAATTATTTGTTAATCAACATATTATAAGCGGAATATGTCGTTGTATTCTGAGTACAAATTGTAGTCAATGGAAATCAGTATCAGTGCGCCAGTGTTTCAGTATGCGTCAGTGCAACAAGTGTGCTCAGTGTCAGTTTGTTGCTGCAGACAGTGCGCTTAGTGTCAGTGCTTCACTGCAGACAGTGCGCTTAGTATCAGTGCTTCACTGCAGACAGTGCGCTTAGTGTCAGTGACTCACTGCAAACAGTGCGCGCAGTGTCAGTGTCATCAGCGTACCAGTGAACGCCAGTGCGGTTTTATCGGTGGTCAGTATACTGAAACTGCACATCCCTAGATTGATCTAATTTAAAAAAAAATAGTATCGGTAGTGTGGATGATTATTTTTTTCTTACGAGGTAAACTTGAGTCTTATGCATGTGTTACACTAGCAGCTAAATAACTAAAATAAAGACTATTCAATTTTTGATGATCGTTATTTCGATAGCTCTCGTTTTGACGAATTTATTTTCGATAATGTTCGCTTTGGTAATTAGATTTCTAGTCATTTGTGACAATTGTTGCGAATCGATCGACTAAACATGCACTGAATTCAACTATGGAATAAGAATTTTGAGTTTAATTATTCATATATTTATAACAGGAACACACAAAATTATGAAAAGTATAAGCGAATAATTAGTTTAATAATACTTTTTAATTAGAATAGCTAAGCTCGAAATGAAAATTCTCGGATTTCGTTTATACTTATTGGCGATGACTCAGAAATTTTTGAAAAATTTCTTTCTTCAATGAATATAACTAACGAATTATATAGCTTACATCCATAGTTTCATTTGAGCACCTGTATATGTTTTCAAATGAGAAACAATAATATCAATATCTGAGAAAGTACGTCTATGAAGTAATTGTTATTGATGTATTAATAAGTCTTGATGTTATATTTTTGTTTTTTTTTTTTTATTTCTCTTGTATAGTGTAATAGCTGTCAATGTATCACTATCGATTATTGATTTAAGTAAGATTAATTAGTGAAAAATATTTCTAACAATAACGAAAGCGAACGCATGCATAAGAATCTAAAGACTTGTCTTTTACATGAATGTGTTATAGAATTTAGAAAACGCTTCTACAAACAAAAAGCAAAGTTCTAAGTCTAAATGAATCCATTCTTTACTGTTCTACACTAGTACAAAATAGTTTCTTCTCACTTCAAAAATCATTTTTCTATGTGAAGAGAGTGTTCTGAGCTGCTTCATCAGCCAATAAAACGCGTCTCTACCAACTCTATTTCAAAACAGTCAAGAAAGGATTCTATTAAAATAAGACCGCTTTCTTTAATATTCTCTTGGGAAAACGTTCAGTAATGAATTCTTGTAACTTATCAATGCTTTTATCTGAATTTAACGTCAATTTTCATTCAAAAATGGCAGTGCTGAAGTACAGTAGCTTATAAATAAAATCACCAATGGTGAAGCCTTGAATCAGCCATACTTTAAAAAAAATGATTATTGAATAACGGTCTGAGATCTAAAAAATGTCGGCCTTTTAACGAATTATGTCTGAACTTCTCTCCGAGAAATCTTTTGACGAATCAAAGTTTAGATAATAACGATCAAGAATGCGTTCCAAGGAAGCTAGAACAATTAAGAACGTATTCCAATCAGCATAGAATATGTTCTTAGTAGTTCAAATTTGGAAGGCTTTCCATTTTTCTTGAAAGGTTTTCATTTCTAAAAAGAAGAGTTCTTCAGTCTAGGAAACGCCTTCTTTCTCGTTGTTTGAAACATATTTTTCACTCAGTATTGATTTCGTTATTATTCGTCAATAGAACACATCTACATGTGCAATTATAAAAGTAGATAAAGAAAAAAAGTGTTGCTTCGTTTGTAAACTAACATATGAATCACGTAACAAAACAGCATTTAAACAAAGTATCATTTCCTAAAAGTTTTTTAATCTACAAGCATTTCATTGCTGGTTTGGATAAAATTATTTCATAATCGTAATTGACATGAAGACAAAAACACATCGTCAAAAAATTCAGATATATTCCATCCATATGATCTCTCTATTAGATATGGTTTTCGTTAATAGGAGTTCGAACATGATAACTAAACTAAGTAGTTATATTAGTCAGTCAATTATGTAGCCCACATGTATCGCAGTTGCTTATTCAGTCGACTTATTTTTTTTTTTGATTGTCTCTCATACGAGCATGAAACATAGATTGATTCATCTTAATTTAATTATATTCAAAATATTGTACTCAATCAATCTGTGGATTTGATATTTACACTTGTCGAAATATTTTAGAACTTCGTCAAGTAAAAGAATTCTTAACTAATACTCTTATTAGTTCACACATAATTTGATAACAGAGACATCATTGTATTTTTAGCAAAATCGCGCAATAGTATTCTTTTTTAGAAACGAGTTTTCTAAAGCTGATGTAACATGCTGGTTAAATCATTTTAAGATCATACCAACGCTAAGATGTGATAAAACTTCACTTGAACTCTCGTATTTAGGATTACAAAAAAAAGTATTAGCGTACCATTTTAGTAATATTCGACTTTGCAATTAATCTTAAAGTGACTTGCATTATAAATTATTACGGATAGGTATCGATTGTTCGACGCTTTTATATCGTTGGGTAAATAAGTTCTAGGTTGATGTTCTCAATATTTCCCACTAAGTTTAAACTAAAGTGAATAAATTTTAATGAATAATATCTATGTGAATCGTCAAAAATACATTATGTTGTGGTGTGAGATGAACATGTGAGTGTAGTGGAATGTAGGTATGATTGGTGGTTACAACGTAGGCATCCAAAGCCACCTAAAGTCCTACCAACACTCACACCCCGCGACAGTAGAATTCCATGGGTGTTCGAGAGCGTAGGAAAGCAATGCATATAGTCACATGTTGTCGACAGATACCGTTTCAGTCAATTTTCTCGTAAATTATAAACGCATCTGGATGCAAAACCGAGGCCGTCCGCTTTGAAAGGTGTATAAATGCGTCTGAAATGCGTTTGATGTTTACATGTGCATTTACCACTAAACGGTAAACAGTAAGTGGTAAAAATAACCAGACAACAACAAATAACCAATAACTATAATATTCATTTATTCGTGTTAAATTGATTATGTTTTGATGATTACAATATTTACCATTTACCTAGTAACTGGAAGTGGTAAATGTGACACTACGAGTTTGATTTATGCTTAACGCTGACTTAATCTTTGACAAAAAATAGATACTTCAGTTGTGTTTCATTTATTTTTAGTATTATAATTCGATGGCCGAGTGCACAGACGTAAATACAAAATTTCCTCATATATCATTTAATAATTCGAAAAGTTTTCATTCAACATCAGAAGGTAAAGTTTGGACAAGATTATTAATTCATCTATGTTGGTGGTTACATGACATGTACGAAATCAAAGATACGGATACAAATGCAAAATTCGAATATATTGAAGAGAAAATTAGTCTATGTCAAAAATTATTTCCTGGTCAGTTTAAATTAATGTTTTCAGATCCAGATATTTCTCCAAATGAACAACATCCTTTATTGATATGTCGTGAAGATGAACAAAAAATTATAATTGTTGTATTTCGTGCAACTGTTTCATCAAAGTCTCTTCAAGATGTCTTTACAGATATTAGCATCCATTCAAATCATCATATGTATCTTGGTGATCGACATTCGGGATTTTCGAAACGAGCTGAATCAGGTCCATTACTTGCTGTTACAAATTGGCTACGTAGAGGATGGAAAATAATTATTACAGGACATTCTCTTGGTGGTGCTGTCAGTCAATTGTTTACGGCACAAGTAATTAGCAACCTCGTTGAAGCTGGTTTATTACCCGAGATGGTTTCATTACGTTGCATTACCTTTGGAACACCTCAATGTGCTGATTATCATTTTTGGAGCAGTTATACAAAATGGTATGATGTCTTTGATACATATATGTCGGAGTTGACTCTAAAATTCAGTTGACTTTAAAAGGGAA